TCGTAATAATCAGATACATAAGGATTAAAGACACATGTGCAAACATGTAAGTGTTAGTCGCATTAAAATGTAGGAAACAGCATATCTTAAAATGAAATGGAGATCTTCTTTAAAGGGTAAAACTCATTCAATTTTATGTCTTACAGGGTTTATACTGAATTCAACATTGTATGACTGTATTAATTCAATTGTGAACCTAAAAATTTACAACCATTTTTGAAAGAGATGCATCTTAGCTCTGGAAATTGTCATTGAATATGTCAATGCTGTTGTAATGAAATGTGTCTTTTAATTATATGGTTATTAAATAAATAATTTTAAAAAATTCAAACCTACCCTGTGTCTAATCACTATAGTGGATAAAGAGCTTTTAAGAAGTGTTTTTCTCAGACTCTTATCACTTCTTGTGATAGGATCAAGTGTAGATTCCAGTATATTTGTAGTCCTCATGCATGTTTTCAAAAGTCTGCAACACTACTATTTTAAGTATTTTGGGGGCCGTATGATAAGCTAAAGATCATAGATTGAGTCAACTTTTGAACCAAACAGCATTCTCATACATGTAGGAGACATCCTTTTAAATTATGTAGCGAGTAGTTTATTAATAAGAGCAAAAAGTTGCAGTGCTTCTTTTACGTACTTTCCAAATAAACTGTGACTTTTCCAGAGGTCTAATGTCAGTATCACAGACAATTGGCAAAATAATACTTTTTTTTTTTTTTTTTTTTTTTTTGAGAAAGGGTCTCCCTGTAGCCCTAGCTGGCCTGGAACTCACTATGTAGACCAGGCTGGCTTTGAACTCACAGAGCTCCACCTGCCTCTGCCTCCTGAGTGCTGGGATTAAAGGCGTGTGCCACCATGCCCAGCAAGTTCAATATATTTCTAAAATAATTTTTTTAATACTAAGTGTGGATACACCCTGATAACTGAAAGCAGAAACCATTGCTTCTCTATAGGGACCTGGCACTCAAAGTATATGATCAGCATCTTCCACTTTCTTTTGCTTCATACATCTCTGCCTAACAGAACTCTTCCTCAAGCCCATCCTTCATCGCTAAGTGCTGACATTTGACCCTAACATCCAACTGAAACTTAACTCCTTAATAAATCTTCCCTAATGCCTCATAATCACATTTTAAATGATAAATAAAAAGGAGATAATGAAAATAAGGACACTGAGAAAATAAAATTAATGGTGAATGCTGAAAGAAAGGAGTTGGCTGAATAAAAATCAACAAGACGTTCTTCCAGGAAGAAGGTACTACCATTAGGTACTACTGGAAATGATTTCACAGGTGGTAAAAACAAACCAAAGGACTAGTGTCAGACATATGTTAGGTAATGCAGAAAGGCAGCCTATAACCTTAGAAATGCTTTTAGAGATGCTTATAGGCCAGACTGGATAAATTCAGAGAGTGAAGGGCACTCTACTGTTTTCATGAAGATGGTGAAATGCTGGCTCCCGTAGGTCCTTCCATGCAGAACAGATTATGGACAGAGCATGAGGGGAAGCAAACATGAGAAGAACAATTGCACTGGCATGGGTGAGCAATGGTGATTCACTGTAGGGCAAGTAACAAAGATGGACATCTATCGCTGGATGTATTCAAGGTGGATATATTTTAACAGAGCTTACTGATGGATGGAATGAGGATCCAGGTCTCTCAAAAAGTTGGAGAAAATCTATACAGGGTTAGTTATTTCTATTTGTTTGTGCTCTTTGATAGATGGTAACAAGAATTTCCCTTTAGCCATGATCATTCTGAGTGGTCTATTAGTTAGCCAAATGGAAATGGCAAAAAGGTAATTTGGAAATATGCCTCTACAGATTAGGTGACAACTAATAACTACAGATATCAATTTGAGGATTGTTATATAAAGTTTGTATTCATAGGCACAAACAAGAGAGGAGCCTGTAGGTAAAGGTTAGTTAGCTAAAACAAAGAGCCTATAGGAGAGCTCAAAGCCCCCCTTAACATTTAGGAACTGTGTAAAAGAATTATTAAAGGAGACAGCAAAGGAGAAGCCAGAAAGATGGGGGGCAGGGATGAACATATAATGTCACATAAACCAAAGTATAAGAAGGACTACTAGCTTGGCATGGTGGCATGTGCCTATAATACCAGGATTTGGAAGGTGTAGATTGGAAGATTGGGAGTTCAAAGAAAGCCTGACTATAGAGTGATATCTCAAAAACAAGCAAAGATTTTTTTAAGGAGTGTGGGAGAGCAGGGGTTAACTTAGTTCAGTGGTGTTAAGGAGCAAAAAGATGAGAATTAAGCATCCATGAAGAAAACAAATCATCATGGCTACATACATTTCAAAGAATGATATAGGCAGGGCATGGTGGAGCACACCTTTGTTTGCAGCACTTGGGAGGCAGAGGCGGGCAGATCTCTGTGAGTCTGAGGCCAGCCCGTCTAAAAAATATATTTATAAATAAACAACTAAACAAATATAAATGAATAAACAAATGAATGGATAATGTACTGGTAAGATTTTAATCATCTTGAAGTCATTGGTGGCCTTGGCCTTGCCTTCCCATACCTGACACAGGTTGCTGGAAAGAGAATTTCAAGAAGAAGAGGTAGTTAATGTTTATTTTTCATAACTGTTTGAGCAGAGGAATGAAGCAATTACAAATAGAAGATAAGAAAGTTGTTTGGAATTTGTTAAAAAGAAGTACAACAGGATTTGTATTTGAAATATGATGGATAGAAATAAACTGATGGGAAGGATCAAGCAGGGCAGGAAGAATGAGCAATATAGGCATGAGGCAGAAGGACAGAGGCCCAGGCTCAGAAGGGGACAAGCAACAACACGTAAAGTTGTTGGAGCTGTTGATCAGAGCTGTGTTGTTCATTATACCCCTGTACCAGTGACCAGACCAGATTTTACTATCAGCCTGATGATATAAAACTTCCTGTGTCTCCACATAAACTGACTCCACTTACCTGAGAGGTAATATTCAAAGTCTTACCAAGATTTTATCCTGCTTTGACCTCACAGAGGCTCCAAACCACTGGTGGGATTTAAACTCCAGTGGGTCATCTTTGGCAAAATCTCGATTACCTGAAAAAGAATGTTGTGAGAGGTTAGAAACAAAATAGATTATTCATAATGTATTTTTCTATCCAGCCAGGTTTAGGAATAGTATGCCTTTAACTAATCAAATACTACACTGCACAGTTGTCTCTTGCACTCCACATAGGTGAGGAATGTTGATCTAATCAGAAAAATAAAATGCACAATGACTTGTGAGCAGCTCAGCTTTGCTATTAACGCCATCAATTATCAGATGTGAAAAAGTAAGTGTAAATCAGGTTTCCCAGTGACTGAACTGTTAAATAATTAACTATTAACAAATGCCGTGACACCTGTCATATTCCTAGATGCTTCATCCATGGCATAAAGAAAGACATTTATGAAAATTAGAGCATACGACATACCTGTAAATAACAAGGGCAGTAAAAGTCTAACGTGAGCAGGATGGCCTTAAAATATACACATTAGACTCTGGGAAACATGATTTGGCTGGTAGGCAGGAGAATGAGATCTGACACATGCAGATCTGAGACATGCAGTTCCCAGCCCCCACTACTGAGAACATTATTCCATGTCATAGGCACTAATGTGAGCCACTGTGGTTTAAAATATATTCCTTTAGATAGACAGAGATGTATGTACAAAGGATTTTGACAAGGAAAAACTATTTTTAAAGTCAGGTTTGCTCCTTTAGAAAATTCTGCTTATATAATTATTTTTAAAATATGTGTTTCAGTAACTATATTGAACAATACAGCACACAAAGATCAGTTCTCAGACTGTCAACCAATGTTTCTGGGTGCAAGTTTTTTTCTAGTTATTTAAAAAAATACTTTACATATTATTTTTATTTTATGTGTATGAGTATATTGCTTGTATGTGTATAAGTGCACCCATGTCATGCAATGCCCTTGGAGATCAGAAGAGGGTGTCAGATCCCCTGGAACTGGAGTTATGGACAGTTGTTAGCCACCATGTGGGTGCTGGGAATTGAACCCATATCCTCTGCAAGAGCAGTCAGTGCTCTTAACCAGTGAGCCATCTCTCTAGCCCCTTTCTAGTTATGTTTAAACAGCTTTATAAGCTATTATTTCTAGGATATATTATGCATATTTATTTCAGATAAAGGAAAAATACGTTGACTTTGTATCTGAACTCAACAAATTGCATACTTAACTTTGAAACTGGGACTTTCTTATTCGATACATTGCTAATGCAAACCCTCCAGCCCATCAGACACTATTTCCGGTGAGCTGTGTATGTGATAGAAACATGAACAAATACTTTATGTCTTTCCCTATGTATGATGCCAATCAATGAACACTTTATAATTTTATGGAGAAATTTTATCTGTAGATATTGCTATATATTTAGTTTTTTTTTTATTTGTTTTTTTTTTTTTTTTTTTGAGACAGGGTTTCCCTATAGCCCCAGGTGTTTTGGAACTCATTATGTAGATCACACTGGGCTCAATCTCATAGAGATCTACCTGCCTCTGACTCCTGAGAGCTGGAATTAAAGTGTACCACCACACCCGGTTCATTTTGGTTTTGAGTTCAAGCTGGGCTTGAACTCCTGAACCTCCTACCTCTACCCTAGATTACAAGCATGAGCTACCATAGCCAGTTTATAGGGTCCTGGGGACTGAACCCAGAGCCTCATGACTGTTAGGCAACCACTCTACCAACTGAATCACATCCCTAGCCCCCATTTTTATAATTCATAAAATATTTTGGATTATATGCAGCTACTGCATATATTTTGGGATTGTGCCTGCCCCAGAACTTTCTGAATATGACTTGAAAAAACAAACAGAAACTGTTACATGTAGCCAAGTAAAATAGATGAGCTAAAGCAAGGATCTCCACCCCTTTTCTGTTAATAATCATTATGGTTTTTAATGAATGCAATTTATTTTTAGATTATACTTGTACCTGTGACTTCACCACCAGTCCCATTGACCTAAATCTGGTTCACTGGCTGCAGAGATGACCCAGCCATCAGGCTGCTCTCCCAAAGGACCTGGGTTTGGTTCCCAAGTTCAGTTCCCAGCATCCACATGGTAGCTAGCATCCATCCATTAACTCCAGTTCCAGGGGATTGGATGCCCTCCTCTGGCCTCCATGCACACTGTATGCACATGGTGTAGTTACACAGATACAGGCAAAACAATGATACACATAAAAGAAAAATAAAATATATTTTTAATACCTTATTTATGTTTTTATTTTATGTGTATGAGTATATTGCCTGCATGTATGTAAGTGCACTCATGTCATGCAATGCCTACGGAGGTCAGAAGAGGGCATTAGATTCCCAGGAAGAGTTATAGATGGTTGTTAGCTGCAATGTGGGCTCCAGTAATCAAATCCGGGTCATCTGCAAGAGTAGCCAGTGCTTTTAACTGCTGAGCCATTTCTCCAGCCCCAACAAAATATTTTTTAAAGAAAGGGAAAGTCTGGTTCAGATGAAGTTTTATCCCTTCAGGGACAGTAGCTGATTCTCTCTGCCATCCATTCCTCTCCTCTGTGCTGTTCTGGAGCCTCCACATCACATCATCTTGCTCTTTAAAATGCACTGAAGACTAGGTCACACCAATTCACTCAGTTCAGGATTTTGGCTTGTTTCATACACAATTATTTCAGGATAGAAACTGGCTATGCTGCAAGGTTCCTTTTCTTTTTTAAAAAAAAAATTTATTTATTATTTTTATTTTATGTGTATGAGTGCATTGTCTGCATGTAGGTAGGTGCACCCATGTCATGCAATGCCCTTGAAGGTCAGAAGACGGCAGTCAGATCCCCTGGAACTGGAGCTATGGGCATTTGTTAGCCGCCATGTAGGTATGGAGATTGAACCTGGGTCCTCTGCAATAGCAGCCAGTGCTCTTAACTACTCAGCCATCTCTCCAACCCTTAGGTTCCTTTTCAAACATGTTTTTAAGTTCCATGTGAGCAAACTATACAAGTAAATTTTTCATTAAATTATACTTTCTTACAATAAAATTTTGTTTCTCAAAATGGTTACCAAAGAATTCAGACTATTTTAAAGATCACACATTTGGGTATTTTTTAATTTAAAAAAATTTTTATTTATTATTTTTATGTGCATGTGTGTATTGACTCCATGTAGGTAAGTGCACCTGTGTCCTGCAATGCCCATGGAGGACAGAAGAGGCTGTCAGATCCCCTGGAACTGGAGTTACGGACAGTTGTTAGCTGCCATGCAGGTGCTGGGATTCGAACCCGGGTGTTCTGCAAGAACAGCCAGTGTTCTTAACTGCTGAGCCATCTCTCCAGCCCCCACACATTTGTTTTATAATTAAAATTTATATTCAGGTATGGGGGTGGTATCTGTAGTTGGCCCTAAGACAACTCAGCCAGTAAAAGTGCTTTCTACAAGCTGCATGACCTGAGTTTGACCCCTGGAGCCCAGGGTAGAAAGAGAACTGACTCCACAAAATTGTCTTCTAACCTTCGCAAGCAGGCTGTTGCACATGTGCACTCATGCACATGCACACACACACACATACACACACACACACACACACACAAAGAAAAATGTTTTTAATTTTTAAAATATCAATAACATGAGACCTTCTGTTTCTTTTTAATTTAGATTCTTTATTGCCATTTATTCTAATTATAAGTCTTGGATAAAGGTACAGTGCTTGCCTACCATGGGCAAGGCCTGCATCCAATCTCTAGTACCACAAAGAAAAAGAAAGTATTGGGTTTTGTGGCCATCACCACAATCCCAGTACTCAGGAGGTTGACATAGGAGAATTGAGAGTTCATGGCCAACCTAAGCTACATAGCTAGTCCCTTTGTCAAAATAATAACAAAAATAACACACACACACGAATATTTTGCCTGCATGTATGTAAGTGCACCCATGTCATGCAAAGCCTGTAGAGGTCAGAAAGGGCACCAGATCCCCTGGAACTGGAATTACAGACAGCTGTTAGCTGCAATGTAGATGCTGGGAACCAAACCCAGTCCTCTGCAAGAGCAGCTAGTGCTTTTAACTTCTGAGCCATATACTCATATATATTATATATAATAAATATATATAATAAATATGCACATATATATGATGTAATATGTGCAAAAATGAGCCTAAATGGCACAAAGAAATGGCTTCTATGCTAAAGAATGCCTTCATGAATATACATTCTCATCCGTAAAACAAATATTTTAAGTCAAATATTCAAGGCACACTAAAACTATTACTAAAATACATATACACCTTTTTCCTTCCACAAGATATTCAGTAAGGTTAGGCTATGGCATAACTTTCAGTATTGTATAGGACCCCATTTCACAGTCAGATAATAGTTTAGTTAATCCCCTGCATCTCCTGTTTCAAACTTAGGGATTCTTCAATTTAAGATGTACATAGCCTTCAAGCCACATCTATATCTTCTTCCACTGTACACAAGAATCTCAACGAAGCACATCACTGGGCTCTAAGACATAGGCTCATTGCCAAATTAAGTTGATAAACTCTCTAAGAATATGCAGTGTTACAGAATATTATTCTAATGAATATATATCTATCAAAGCCTCAAGATAGGCTTATTTTTAATGTAAATGCTCCTTTGCTCCAGGAGGACAATGTACTGCTCCTGCCATAATGACTATCAAATGTTTGTGGATATCAGGCATAATGTAAACTAGAAATGAACACAGTAAAGGCATGGAAAGTTTACATATTTGGTTTAAACTCATCAACATAAAAATCTATCATTCTTTTTACAAGGAAAACTACCAATCAGTGAGAACAAATGAGCATCAGTCAAAGACAACAAAAGTATCAGGTATGTGCTTTTTTGATGAAAATATAAATTGTATAAACTAATCTGAGCCAAGCACAGTGGTACAGGTCTGTAATCCCAGAACTCTGGAGGCTGAGACAGGTGAATCATGGGTTTGAAGCTGGTCCAAGCTATATAGAATGTAAAGCCGTCTTTTAAAAAATATTTTATTATTTTGTATTATTTTATGTGTATGTGTGTATTGCCTGAT